CAAAGTAACTCTACGAGTCAGTATTCTAGATGGCTCCTTTTATTTTAGATAATTAACTTCAATCGGCTTATGAAGGTATATTACTGCATTTTCTACAGCTTCTCAGCCAATTTTAAAATATTTATTTTTAGTAGGTTTGAAGATCAGGACGATGTGTTCCTTTTTTTGGTCTCAGTCTCCTTTAGTCTTATAGTGTTGGTTCGAATCTGTTTTCGCAACTTGGTCGGAGCGTTAATGAGACCTTGTGGAACACTAGACTAGGCAAATTCTACAAGGTCTCCCTGACGTTCCGACCAAGTTGCGAAAACAAGGTTGAGCCAACTCTATTTATAGTTCTCTTTGTAAGAGTGATATTTATCTAAAATTATAAAAGCACATTCTCATGTTTCATGCTCGGATTTGACAACTACAGATTCACTAATTTAGTTAGTTGAAATTTAACCCCACCTTTTGATTCGCTTTCCCTTACTTACTATCTTATTCGGTGAATACACACTTTTCAGATTTCATCTTATTCTTTTCGACCGGTCATTATTTCCTCAAGGAGTAATGAATAAGGACTTCGATGGATTTTATTCATAAGGCAGGTATGGACAAATAGCCTTAACTATATGCATGAATGTGCTTGTTAATCTTAAATGAAAAATTTGAACAAGCCTGGATCTGAGCGTTTGTGCATTTGTATCTACACGCCTATGATTTTATCAATGAAGGCCATTAAGTAGACCATAACGCAATAAATAAAGCTGAGCTTATGTTGCACGACTTATCTTTAATGACATCGTTTTTTTCTCCTCATCTGATGGCGATAAAGATGACTGAATAGCATAAAGCTTATCTTTCCGGGAAGACTGAAATAAGAGCTTATCTAGATTAATATTTGGGGAAACTTTCGCTGAGTTGCATAGTTACTCGCGGAGGAAAATGCAGTAATATGAGCAAAACAGAATCTATTAGTACTCTATAGACTTAATTATTTTATTTTGCATGACTTGTGAATTTGCATGATACAATTCTATCTATTACACCTACTTGTGGCTTTAATTAGATTTAATATATTTTAATTATTTGCCTCCTTTTATCTATTTTGCTGCTTCTTCTGCAGTGCTGTCTTCTTCGTTACCTACATTGTTTTGGTTTGCTGTCCCAGTGTCCGAAGGCGCTTCCCCGGCAATTTCATTGCTCTTTCCGTATTTGTAAGTCAAGCGTTTTCAGTGTTCCAATTTGTCAATTTTCTAGCAATATTCTCATCCATTGCTCCAAGTTCGATTACTGTCTTTCTTATCCTTTCAAGTAATCTTTTAATTTCACCACACTCTAAAAAAATGCAAAAAACGGCCTCGCTTTGATATCTATGTCTGAGTCCATTCTAGTTTGAGCTTAGCTTATAAAGATTTAAATCACCTTAAATTTTATTTTATTTTAAAATGCTATCATGCTTTTAAGTAAACCATTAAAAAATTATATATTCTCTACTAACTCATATTTTCATACATTCATATTCACCAAATTTTGATCGTTAGACCCTTGCTTTCTCCTATATGACTGGCACAATCTCAAGTTTTTATGATACCTACTCGGTGCTGATAGCAGTTGGCGTGACGGCCGGGATGTGTTTAATCATCTCACTGTTTGCCATCCAGACCAAGATCGATTTTACCAAGTGCTCGGCTCTTATCCTTGTTCTCTCTATCGTCCTGCTACTCACTGGTATTGCCTGTGCAATTGTTTACGCTGTATCCGGACCGAATAAGGTCAGTTCTCTTAAGTCTGAATATATTGCTCCTCTCATTTTGGCGATCGAATGGATCACATTATCATTGATGAGGCCTAATGCAAATAATTCACATGTATAGGCTAAAGCCCAGCTATGCAAATAAGTCCAGCAAAAAGTCTACCATGATACATGCTTTCCCTAGATGTCAGTCCGATTGGCGTATTTACGGGGAGTGTATACGATCCAGATTTCGATTAATCTTTTGAGATAACAACGTTGTAACGACTTTAATTTCGCGTGGATGTGTATGAGGAAGAGGTTCGTAAGTCGATCTCACCAGAAGCTAGCGATCGATTCCCATTGCTCTGCAGCCGTTTTCTTTTTTTACGACTTTCGAGTCGTAGCAGTCTAGAACACATCCTCCTTCGATTCAAATGAAAATGGGTTAAATCTCAGTACGCCATGGAAATCGGCAGGCTTACTCAGAACTGGAAAGCATTCAAATTGAGAAATTATTACTAAGTCAAAGAGATTAACCAGCTTTTACTTACACGCTATATATGCTTAGAAGTATAAACGAAAGTATTAAGATACCGATGGCTATCTATATATTTTATATTTTTCATATTAATATATTTATTTATATGCTTAGGTATGTGTGTGTTTGTAGGTATTTGCGCCTGATAGCCACATGGGTCATGGTATGGAATACCAGTCATCATACCACTAGTAATTGTTGTCTTTTTGTGATTTTCTACAGTAACACTTCGAAGGCCTACATATAAACGAGAAAAGGCCCTCCATATTCGCATTATATTTACTAGATTGTTTGAGAAGGCGATATCAAGATTTCAGTAGCCTTCTATCATATTATCTGCTAAATCCTTCTTTTTATTTTTAAATTTAGGTTCTTCACGCTGTCTACGGAGGAATTGGTGCTCTAGTATTTAGTTTGGTTAGTAGCTTACATGTCTGATGAAATTTCCTATATTTTTTCACGAGCTAAACCTTTGCATAATTATGAACCAATTTGAGTTTTTATGCTAGCTGACTTCTATAAGTGCGCTTTTTAACAGGGGAGCTCATTCTGTCTTTATATAGATCCTTAGATCCTGTCTCACCAGCACTATTAGTAAATAGTAAAACAAAGATACTGAGATATGAAGACCAAGATGTTGTGGTCTCTGGTATGGTCATAGTCTCCTTTCGATTTATAGAAGTGGGTTGACCTGGTTTTCGCAACTTGGTCTTGTTGTCAGGGGGGCTTAGTAGAACGCATCTAGTCCGAAGTCGTCTGCCATAGTAGTTGTCATGACTCTCAGCATCATACAGTGGACTTGGTACATACCCAAACGTTTCACCGACATCGTAGTCGGCATCATCAATGAGTTTTGCAATTCTCTGCACCAAGCTACGAACTCGTAAGAGAGGCAAGACCAAGTTGCGACAACGAGGTCAACCCACTTCTATAAAGATGCTAAGGTTTCTTTCTTCAGAAATTCATTTCTTCATCGCTTTCTACTGGGAATTGGGGCGAGTTGCCATGAAATTCGGTATCTTGCGTTCCTTAACTTCTTACTGATCATTTCGCATTAAAGGTTTGTATTTTGCGAGCATGAAATGGACTATTCTCTTTTCTAGGTTCCTACTACTCAGAACAGCCTCTAGTTGCCGATTTTATATCCATCAAAAACACATTCTCAAACCATCACTAGTTAACTAACAAGCGAATGTGTAGTTTGCAGTCTCTCGCCTTATTAGATAATTGGATTTCTGAATAATTTATTAATTGATAGTCCAAATATTTTGTATGTCAATGATAACTTTGCTATGTTGTATGTGCATTTCGAGGACCCGATTCTTTCTCGCCTAAAAGTTTTGTCTTGTAATACAATATTTTGCACTATGAAAGAAGATACTTGCTTTTATATAAACCTCTCAAAACTGATCCATCTGCTAAGAGTTTTGTCGGTGTATATTCGACATTCTGGCTTAACCGTTTTCATCTCTGATTGATTTATTGATTTCATTTTTTTCTTTTCTTTATCTTTCAGTATCTTGTGTTTGATACGCAGATGATCGTTGGGGGACGCAAGCATGAAATGAGTCCTGAAGAGTATATCTATGGTGCACTTCAGCTTTACATGGATGTCGTTAATCTCTTCCTTATGCTTCTCTCTCTTATCGGCAGTCGAGACTAATACATTCCTTCCCCTCATCATTCCTCTTCCATCCTCCGTATCTCCCTTCTGCCTCTGTATTACGATTCAATGGTTCAATGAAAATGCTTATATTCTCAATTTCTGTTCCTTCTAACTAAATTTCGTCTTGTGTCCGAGTTATCTTCTTGACTATTTGTTTTCTACAATCGATTGCTTTTCCCTGACTCTTGTTGACCTTAGTAAAGCGCTTCCACTTGATTTACCTGAATCCTAAATGAACTTAAATAATGGAGAAGTGAGGTTCGTGCCTTTTTTCGCACGGACCTTTTCATCCAATCATACACTTACATTTGCTTTGTGTTCTCCCTCCATATGATTCTCATAAATGCCCGTACATCCTTCCCGGTCATTGAATAACCAGAATACGTCACTTTCTCTGTATTGTTGAGATTCAATTTTTCATTTGCAGATTGCTGATTCCTTAAACCTAGATACCCCTTCAGCGTTTTTTCGATCGGAAGACCTCATTTTCAGATAACTTTGAACGAAAACTTCCTATCTCTAGTCACAATCTGCTTTTATCCTATGCGATATCTTCTATTAACGTTACATCTCTTCGATGTTGTATCGATATATATTTTATTATTCTTTTACGTATTAATGAAAAGTAGTTTGCTCTAGCACGTAAATGTTTAGGTATACATCAAATTTAACACTAATTAGCTCTGTCAATCGAAGGTATAAAGACCAAGATGGTGTGGTCTTTATTATGATAGCGGTCTTCTTTCGTTGTATAGAAGTTACTTGACCATATTTTGGCAATTTGGTCGTATTGTCAGAGAGACCGGGAGAAATTCACCTTGTCCCGAGCCAATAGTAGGCATGATTATTTTCACAGTCGGACCGTGGACTTGGTACATTCCCTGACATTTTCCGGCATTTTTAGTGAGCCTTGTCATTTTGAGCACCATTCCACAACTCACTAGAGACAAGTGAAGTCGATTCTTTGACCAATTGTCTGCCAAACAGTTGTGGGATCTCTCCTGTCCTTGTGCATTCACTCATCCTATATCCTTGTATAACCTCTTCACTAACCTTTTTTTAATTGCTTATTTAAACCTAGTGCTCTACATGTGCCCTTTTGAGCAGATATAGTGAGATTTATTCACACTCATCGCTGTGCTGAGAATGTTGATTCTAGTCTGACCTTTTAGTTCGCAATCCTCTTCCTCGAGGTCCTATCATTGTTTCCGTTTTGCTCTATAGGATGCAATGTGCGAAGTTTTCGCTAATCCTGACTTATACAAGTCTCCTGGTCATCAAATTTCTTTTATTTCATTCTGACTGGGTTTTCGATACATAATTCAGAGATCTGACTCGCTGATATTCTCGAAAATCTACTCAAAATGAAATATAAAGTAATGGTATAGCAAATGTAAGTTTACTCCATCGACAATCCCACCACAGAATGCTATACGCGAAGATGCCTAGCCTTCCTTTAATTTCACATCTGCCCTGTTACTCAAGGGCACTCGTGACAATGTGGCGCGGTGGTTAACGTGTCGTGATTACACGCGGCGCATCCATAGTTCGAGTCCCGCTGGGTGTATTGATAAGACCTAGACGAGGTCGAAACTATAGTCCACTTAAGCCTGGATGAGAACACCTTTTGGGAAAGCAAGACTAAAATTCAATGGAAACGTCAGCTCTACATATAATCTTGCGATAAATTCAGCCACCAATCTTTCATCATCTTAAACATAATAGGGTGGATATAGCATATATTTTTCTTTCGATCAGAATATTGATGGCTTCTCGGATCTTGCGTCTTCTTTAATTTTCACTATATTCAACCAGCTTTATGTCGATTTCATGTCCCGTCCGTGCAGTATTTCGTTTCTCCGATCTTTTCGTATCCATCTTTTTACGATGTCTGATATTCCTTGATTCGTAGGCTGATCTTTCTTCTTGTTTCACATTTTATGAAATAACCTCCCGAGAAATCCAGTTTATTGACCTTTTTATGTCGCGTTGGCAGGCTGGGGAAATGTTTCCACTTTTCCTTCGTCATCAACTTGATATTCCATTGCCTTAGCTACGGTCACAATTTTTTACTTCAGATTTTATATTTAATTTTATAAAAACCAAGTTTAAA